GCAGTAGTAGTAGGAGTAGAAGTAGTCGTAGTAGTAGTAGTAGTAGTAGTAGTAGTAGTAGTAGTGGTAGTAGTAGTCGTCGTAGTAACAGTAGCAGTCGCAGTAGTGGTACTGGCAGTAGTAGTAGTAGTAGTAGTAGTAGTAGTAGTAGCAGCCGCAGTAGTAGTAGTAGTAGTAGTAGTTGTTGTTGTAGTAGTAGTAGTAGGAGGAGGAGTAGTGGTAACATTAGTAGCGAGAGTAGCAGCAGCGACACCACCAGCAGCAGTAGTAGCAGTTGTTGTGCTAGCAGCAGCAGCAGCAGCAGCAGCAGCAGCAGCAGCAGCATCAGCAGCAGCATCAGCGGCAGCAGCAGTGGTAAGAGTATCCATCATGCCCACAGTTATTTTTCGCATACTTTGTACTCCCGAAACAAAGAAATCTCAACCCTGATCCAAAACCTGAACAAATCCTAAACCCTAGACCCACCCTTATTGCCCTTAATTTGCTACCTAGGTTCCACGTTCTCCCAGAGCCAGTTCCAGGCCACCTCGTGGTTGGAGTCCCAGTCCTGAGAGATCTAAGGATCCCGTTTGAGCTTAGAGGTTCAGGGTTTAGGATTTCGGGTTTCGGGTTTCGGGTTTAGGGTTCCGGGTTTGGGGTTTAAGTTTAAGGGTTTAGGGTTTCGGGTCTAGGGTTCCTTTAAGGGCTCTCTGGGGGGGCTCTGGGGTTTTGGTAGAGGTGTACTATTTAAGGTGTTTTGCAGCTTAGGGTTGGTCTAGGGCTTAGGGCTTACAGTGTCAGGTTAAAGGTTAAGGGCTTGGGGTTTCAGGTTCAGGGTTGGGTTTAGGGTTTAGGGTTTAGGGTTTAGGGTTTAGGGTTGAGGGTTGTACGTACTAGTCTGATAGTCAAACTTGCTTGGCCACCGCAGGCAATACTAGGCAATGCTAGAGTAATAAACATCAGCAGATGACAAGGATGAAGGGTGATGGCCATGACAACGATAGTGATCATGACCCGGATAGTGATCATTCCAAGGTTAATGACACTCACAAGAGCAATGAAAATTATAATGCTAATAATGATGACAGTGTTAAGGAGAAGCTGCGTATAGTATCAGAAGCAATAACAGTAGCAAAGACACTGACAATAACCAGATTCATTCAACCAATAGCAGCACCGAAAATCAACGATAGCAATGATGCTCGCAATAGTGCTGCTGGTATTAGGGCGTTGCAGGTATGTTGAAGAATCCTCTTCATTATGTTCTATTCGGTGCTTCCAGGGCCTCCAGCCCGCATAGAGCTCACAACTACAGGAAGGGATTCCTAAACCCTAAATCCCTAAACCCAAAAAACCCTGAAACCCCAGATCCTAAAAACTCGAACCTAAAACCAAAACCCTACACCCCAAAACCCTTAAAACCCTAAAACCCTAAATAAACTAAAAAGAAAAAAGCACTGAACCCTCTAACTTTCAAAAACTGCCTAAACCCCACAAACCTCAACTGCCCAGCCTTGGGAAGCAAAGAACGCAGAGAGGCGAGCATAATGGCCTTGCTCTTAGAGTTTAGGGTTTAGGGTTTAGGGTTTTGGGTTTAGGGTTTAGGGTTCTATCTATAAGGGTTCGATACCGGGTTCCTTTAAAGGTTGCAGAGGGCTTCTCATAGTTCGATAGACAGAAGAGGGCTTTAGAGTTTTGGCGGCTGTGACGATTCAGGGTTTGGGGCATGGTGTTTAGGGTTTGGAGCACCTGGCTCCTTTCCCTTGTTGTGGTATCCTGAGCATACATCAACCTAGGCATGCCAAGATAACCCCTAAGCCATAAACCCCAAACCCTAAACTGTAGGGCTACAACTGCTTTACATGACTCTTCAATTGCACGTTTCCCTTGCGAGAGGGAACTAACGAGAACCCCTTCAGATTGCCTTGAACTCCGTCAGGTTCATGGTGCCTGCATGCTGTGCCAGTACCAGTGACAGGATATCGCACTCCTCCTGCAGTCGGTACGAGTCCGCCGCATGAACCACGATGTCATCGAACTGATCCAAGATTAGATGCATCCAGGTGCTGTGGCGGCCAAAACCCATCACGGCAGAATTGAAGGAGAACATTTCCTTAAAACTGGTGGGCACCTTCACTTCCGATGGTCTCGAACTCATTGTCATGGAGCTCTCTGACGACTTGGCATGCTTCACTGCTTTTTGGCTCTTGGTCTTCAGCTCCTGGTCAGCGGCTACCCTACACCCTAAACCCTAAAAGCCCTAAAAGCCCAAAAACCCCTAAACCCTAAAAGCCCTCAAAGCCCTAAAAGCCCTAAATTGGCCCTTCTTCAGCTCCTGGTCCGTGGCTTCTGTTGAGGGCGTCGAGCTCGCCGGGGCATCCTGAGCCTCCCACTCCTCCGACTCGGCATCCTCTAAGCCTAAGACCTGTAGGGTTTAGGGTTCAGGGTTTAAGGCTTTTAGGGTTTTTAGGGTTTTTAGGGTTTTTAGGGTTTAGAGTTTAGGGCTTTTAAGGGTTTAGGGTTCAGGGTTTAGGGCTTTTAGGTTTTTAGGGTTTATAGGGTTTAGGGTTTGTGGTTTAAAGCTTTTAGGGTTTAGGGCTTAATGTTTAGAGTGTAGGGGTTAGGGTTTAGGGGAAGACCTTGTTGTTCGCGATCTTCCAGCTGTTGCTGATGATCTTGATGCGGCCGTAATACTCACGCGTGATGTAGCAATTCCCGCCCCCGATGTAGTTCAGAACTGCCACCAGCGCCAGCCGCCCCTTCGGAGAGAGAGGAAAAACCTCCTGCACCGCGCTGACCATGGCCTCCTGCAAGACCGTCACGCGCACGGCTTGAGGATCACGGTCAAAATGGCGTGAGCCGAGCGTCTCCACTGCCGCCTTCATGGCCGGGGGATTCTCGGAAAGGTTGATAATGTTCGTGATGCCCTGCATGAGGCGTAGAGACATGAAGGACCTGGGAGTCTTGAAGAGTCCTTGCAAGGTTGGGGCTGCATCGAAGCATGCAGAGTAGATGACGTCCGCCGCGGACTCAAACCCTAACGTGCCAATGAAATCCGCCCAAGCTTTCTTCAGGACTTTGGCGATGTCCAGGGGCATTCGCAACTCCTCGAAGATGTCCTCCTGTACAGTCTGGTACTTCCGCGGGTACTCATCCATGAATTCCTCTTCCTCTGCTACCTCCTCACTAAACCTAGGTTCCCGGGTATCTCCTTCCAATAAATAAACCCCTTTCCTCATATTATTGTTATTATCCATAAGGGAACCACCAAACCAAAAAGCAAATAAAAATGTACAGTCGGGTACCCAGTAGCTCAATTTCTAACCTCGAAAGCTGTTGTAGGACCCTTACAGAGCCCCTTTTTAGGACTCTAGTCGTTTAACAATCCTCTAAAGCTCTTCTCACCCGTTTTCAAGCTCTTCACAAAGCCTAGAGCCTAAACCCTAAAACCTGGTTCAAGGCACTAGAGGTCATCTTCACCCTAAACCTCAAAACCCTAAACCCTAGCCTACACCCTAAACCTTTTGTAGATGTCTGGAAGCTCATCTTCCAGCAGGTACTCCGTCTCCTCCTTTTCGAGGTTTGAGTAGGCCGTGGGACTCGACATCTTTGGGATCGTCGTCCGAGTTTTGAGCCGCAAAACTCTATGGGGTTCAGGACTTGGGGTTTAGGATTTCAAGATTTATGGTTTGGGGTTTGGGGGTTTGAAGTCTGGGATTTCAAGATTGAGGGTTCGGGGTTTAGGATTTGAAAGCTTAGAGCTTAAGGGTTTTGGTAGGGTTTAGGGTTAGGATTTAGGGTTTAAGGCGCAGGCGCACAGAGCGGAAAGGAAGATTGAAACAAGCATTACAACATAAGCTGTAGTCTAAACTCCTAATATCCCCTTTAATATGCAGCGTAATATTCCCATTTATACCCCCGTTTAAGGAGTTTAAACTAAAGTACATAATGCGAGGCTTGTGAGACTGATTTTTGTTTTGAGAGCAGCTTGACCTCATCCGGCTTTGCTGAGAGTAGAAAGACTTTTGGAACTCCTGGTGGGGGTTTAGGGTCTAGAGTTGGGGAGTTTAGGGTTTAGGGTTGGGGAGTTTAGGGTCAGGGTTGAGGAGTTTGGAGATTTGGAGTTTTAGGAGAAGGGGTTGGAACTACCTCTCTCTTATATCCATGTTTC